CAGTTGTATAACTGACATTATGGGTGTAAAACACTGACAACAATGCCGTCTCTTATCCTCTTGTGTGTTTTAATATTCTACCTATTATAAATGAATTGCATTGTTCATTTCACATATATAAACATTAATTCAATCAAATACATATTCAGTAATAAACAATAATGAATATTTTATACATATTCTTGATAAGATAAAAGACGCTGTTTCCTTGAATGCGCACGTATAAGTTGGCGTTCCCAATCCATCTCTTTTTTTCTTTGCCATTAATGGTTAGCTACTTCTATTGTTCCATTTATTAACATTAATAACATTATTTAAAATATATATACGGGTATTATTTTTTTACATTAATTTTACTACAGCTCCAACCAGGGTCTTACTAACGAAAACAATGGCGTCCCATCTCCTCTTGTGTGACCGTATTATTATTAATGTATACAGTTGTACCCCACTTAACGCCGTCAATAAAACCCAGAGGGTACCGCGTTAAGTGAACAACAGAACATATGGGAATAATTCCAATAGAAACCGGCCCGACCCCCAAACTCCACTTTTTGACGACACATAACTATGTTGTAGTAAAAATAACATCTTAATTTTATGATGGTACATGCACACAATTAATACTTAAGAGAAATAGAGAAATACAGTCGCCAAGTTAATGTCCATTCAAATAATGGACTCAACTCCCTCCCCCTCTTCTCACACTACACTGCTGGCTCTTCCTCTCTGAGAAATTTTTGGGGGAAAACCACTAAATTTTAATAAATAATACCTCAAACTAAAGTTAGGATAATACAATTGACATTGCTGGATTCCTTGTAAGACCAGGAATATTTTGAATATAAATGTCATATATTTTGCACAAAAGATAACATATTTACTCAGAATAAACATTATATCTAAAATTTGTGTGTCTAATGCAAAATCTATGATGTTTATATTCAAAATGATCATCAAATTGTAAGAATTCCAGCAATGTAAATTATATTCTGGCCGGGTAATTTGTATGAATTTTATGAGCTAAAACAAATATCTTCAGTTAATAAAAAAAAAAATATTCTTCAGGACACTATCTGTCAATCAAAGTACCCCACCTTGCCTCCCCCCTCTTCCAACCGCGTGGTCAGTCCCAACCCTCCCCCCCACCCCCCACCAATCCTCCCTTCAAGAGAAGAGTGGGTGAAAAAACTAAATTTTAACATTTTGTATTAAATACAGTGGCCCCTCGGTTAACGAACTCAATCCGTTCCAAAAGGTCGTTCGTTAACCGAAACGTTCGTTAACCGAAACCATTGTTTCAATGGGTTTTTGGGTAATTGGTTCCAGCTCACCGAAAATTTCCTAACTTCAACAAAAATGGCGGAAAAATTTACTTACTTTGAGGTGTGTATGTAGAAGGCTCCTGGATGATGGTGATGATGTGCATTTGAAGTGGGAGGTGCAGGAGGAGAAGGGAGAAGAGAAGGAAGTGGAGGTGGAGGAGAAGCATTTTACTGCTTCTTGGAAGGTGAGTCACCTTCCATGAAAATGTGAGGAACCTCTGGACTGACAGATTCTCCACCATGAACATCCTCTCTCCTTCTTGAAGTGGAAGGCTGAGGGCTAGCATCTTGTTCCCTCTGCCTTTTACTGAAGAAAGTGTCAATTGTGGTCTGTGGGGCATCTGTCCTCCTCACCATTAACTTATGTTTAAAGAAGGAGACCACTGAGTCCTCAACATGACACAAAGTTAGTTCAGTTTTTTCCACTTCTGGGTGCTTTGAAGCCAGTTCCCTGAACTTCTCCCAGTGGTAAATCACATCTTTCAACTGTTTAGCTGACATATGGTCATCACTTTCAATTTCCTCCTCACCACTGTCAGCCTCTACCCGTAACATCTCATCCAGTTCCTTCAAGTCATTAGGAGTAAGTTCCTCCTCATGAGACATCACAAGCTCTTCCACATCCTTCTCCTCCACTTCAAGACCCAATGACTGACCAATGGACACAATCTCCTGGTCCAACTCTGTGTCATCCTCAAATCCCTCAAAATCATGGACTACTGATGGCCACAGTGCTTTCCATGAAGAATTGAGGGTTCTATTGGAGACTTCTTGCCATGATGACACAATCAATTTTACAGCCTCCAGGACGTTGAATTGTGTCTTCCAGAACTGTTTCAGTGTTAGTTCAGGATCAATGGAAGTTGCCTGATGACACCTCCTAAACATTTTCTTCATGTACAACTTCTTGAAGTTGCTGATCACATTCTGGTCCATTGGCTGTATGAGTGATGTAGTGTTTGGAGGCAAAAACAACACTTTCACAAAGTCAAATTTATACTCCAAATTTCTGGCAAGGTCAGGGTCATGACCAGGAGCATTATCCATGAGGAGAAGAGCCTTTAAAGGAAGTTTATTGGTGGTTAGGTAGCTCTTGACAGAGGGGCAAAACACATCAACAGCCCATTCATTAAAGAACTGTCTTGTCACCCATGCCTTACGGTTGGACTTCCAATAAACTCCAAGCATTGTTCTTACCACTTTCTGTTGCTTGAACACCCTGGGGTTTTCAGAGTGGTAGACAAGCATAGGCTTCAGTCGGAAATCCCCTGAAGCATTGGCACCAAGCAATAGAGTGAGACGGTCTTTCATGGGTTTATGCCCAGGTAAAGAGGCTTCATCCTTGGTGATGAATGTTCTTTTGGGCATCTTTTTCCAGAACAGCCCAGTTTCGTCAACATTGAACACTTGCTGTGGAAGATAATTTTCTTCTTCCATCAGTTTATTAAATTCAATTAAAAACTTTGCTGCCCCTTCTTTATCAGCACTAGCAGCTTCACCATGCCTAACAACACTTAAAATGTCACTTCTTTTCTTAAATTTTTCGAACCAGCCTTTGCTAGCCCGAAAATCTTCAAATTCTGTTCCTGAAGAACCAGGTTGATCTGTCTTTAAATGTTCATAAATCTCCCTGGCTCTTTCACAAATGAAATCACCAGAAACTGAATCACCTTTCATCTGTTTTTCCCTAATCCAGATGATAAGTAACCTCTCAGTTTCTACGATTAGGGATCTACTTTTAAACACTCTTGTAGATCTGTCTCTCACGTTCACTTCCTTAAATTTGTCTTTTTGTGCAAGAATTGTCGACACAGTTGATGCCGACATGCCATATTCTTTGCATAGCACATTTGATTTAATACCTTGTTCGTGTTTTTTTATTATTTCCTGCTTTATTTGGATTGAAATCACTTTTCTTGATCTCTTAGGCCCCATGCTGGATTCAAACAATGGCAACACGTATTTTTCAAAGTTAAACTAGCTGTAAATAAAGAATATTTTCTTTAAAGTAACACTGCACTGCACTATATATTGTCAATATGTAAAATAATTTTCAAAATGACCAATAATTTGCTTGGAAACACAGAAAAAAAGCGTTTAGTTGAAGAGAGTCTCAAGCAAGATGTTACCTCCAGTGAAAACAGAGAGAGACTGACGCCTGTTTGCTGTGTTAAGAGGCTGGATGCCGCGCATTAAACTAGTCTCTTTACCTTCAATTATGTTCAATAATTGTTAAAATGACTAAAAAATTGAATATTAAACTTTTAAAATTATTGAATAGTATAAACTTCTTGATATTTACAAAAATAGTAAGGAATTTAAGCCCTAGAACCGATTAATGTATTGGCGAACTGATACTAAAGCTGGTTGCCCGGTCAGTGCAAGCGAAAACATGTTGAGGTCGGTTCGTAAGAAGTTCGTTAAAATTTTTTCGTTAAACGAATTGAAGATCCTTATGGAAGGCAGTTAGTTGTCGAAATTACGTTAACCGAGGTGTTCGTTAAGAGGTCACTGTAATACCTCAGATTAAAGTTAGGATAATATAATTGACATTGCTGGATTCCTTGTAAGACCAGGAATATTTTGAATATAAATGTCATATTTTGCACAAAAGAGAACATATCTACTCAGAGTAAACATTTTATCTAAAATTTGTATGTCTAATGCAAAATCTATGATGTTTCTATTCAAAATGATCATCAAATTATAAGAATTCCAGCAATGTAAATTATATTCTGGCCGGGTAATTTGTATGAATTTTATGAGCTAAAACAAATATCTTCAGTTATTAAAAAAAAAAAAAAATATTCTTCACACGGTAACAGATGGTCGGTCCGGTCGGTTCCTCCCCCCTAACCGTCCCTACCAGATGTGTGGGAAAACCAGAATATTTAACTTTTTAGTAAAAAATAATACCTCAAACTAAAGTTAGGATAATATAATTGACATTGCTGGATTCCTTGTAAGCCCAGGAATATTTTGAATACAAATGTCATATATTTTGCACAAAAGATAACATATTTACTTAGAATAAACATTATATCTAAAATTTGTGTGTCTAATGCAAAATCTATGATGTTTATATTCAAAATGATCATCATATTGTAAGAATTCCAGCAATGTAAATTATATTCTGGCCGGGTAATTTGTATGAATTTTATGAGCTAAAACAGGCAGTCAGGCAGGGTGGCGGGTGGGGCAAATCTAAAAATAGTGTCTCGAGCCGGACACTCACCGTGGATATGTGGAAAAAATCCGTGTTAAGTGAAAGTTCGTGGCGAGGCACCGCATATGAAAAAACGTGTTAAGTGAAACCGCGTTAGGCGGGTAATACTGTATTGTATAAGGTGCATTCATAACCATTATTTAAAGAATATTGTTTTTGGGGAAAAGAGGGTAAAAAGCCAACACAAGACATGAAAATGATTCACGATACGACGATTCACCTTACACTGCAATATTGGAGGATACATTACCGTCGTTATTCGAGACTTTACTGTACTTATTCTCATTATTGAGTATGGGTGTTGACTTGACCACGGAATTTGGTGCATCCCAATTAGGAAGTAACGATAAGTTTTGTCTGACCAATACACTCAAGGATAGAAAATTGAAGAGTTGATGCAAAAAGTGATAAAAATGCCGTTTTAAAAGAAGAAAACAAAAAAAACTTACCATATCTGAGTTCAGTTTGCCAACATTATGAGATGGCAGGAAGATGGAGTTGCCCAGACCAGTGTTGCGGAAGGCAGCACTGTGAAGGAGCTCAACAGCAATGATGGATGGATCCCGTAAAGCAAGTTCATTCTTGATGCGTCCAACACAACTCTTAATTTCCCAGGGTTTAAAGGCTGGCTGAGTACCCACTTCACGAAGGATTTCAAGGCCAGCATCTCTAGAAGGGTATGATGATGTCAGCTTACACATGAAACCCTACAAAAAATTGTATCATGCATGTGTAACTTCCATGGAGAAGAAATCATACAAAATTTAATGGATAGTCGGCTAGATTTTGGGAAACATCAGTTACGAGAGAGAGAAATTGGGGCACAGGAAGAGGAGCAAAGTATGAGAAGGAATGACTAGAACAAAAAATGACTGACTGTGAAATCCTACTTTATAAGAACAAATAAGGGGAACTTACACTGAAATTCCACATTAAATGAACATATAAGGAAGGGGGGGGGGATGTTAAGTACAAACACTTTATATAAAAAATATGAAATATAACTTACAGGTTGTCACGGATCACATCTACACCATAGAGTATATGTTCTCGCCCAGATTCAGCCGAGAGGGATCCACCAGCCTGCTGAATAGTACGAGTGATTGCGAAGGATGTTGTGTTGTTAGTTGCCAGACCAGCACACGCACGCAGCATGTGGGCTGCCCCTTGGTTGCTTGCAGACTCATAACGTGATCCAGCCCTAGCAGAGATTTTCATTAATGAAAATGTAAATCAAAGGAAATGTTGAAAGATTATGAAGAGGTCTAATGATATTTCTTAAATGAAACCAATGATATCCTTACATTGTAACTTACCGGTACACTGATGGAAGCAAATACTGTGCCAGTACAGTACAGTATTCAACACACATCCATCTCAATGAAATACAGTCAATAACTTAAACAGGTAATGGTGCTATTCACACAGGCCTATTGTCAGATTCAGGCAGTTGACAACCGAAATAACCGATTGAAAATTTCTCAAATGACAAGTGTCAAACACTGATTACAGTATGTTATCGTTGATCAGTCAATTCGCACCTCTCGCTTGGCTCCGATTCCTTTACAAATTAAGAAATAGATATAGCTTATAGAAAGGGAATTAGTTGTGGCCAGGAAAAGTCATACAGTGATAACTCCGTTAGCCGGAACAATTGGTGCAGAACACTTCCGGGAATGAGAGATTTCCGGGTAACAAGACGACTCTCTCAAAGCCGGAAAAAAATCCCACGTCCCCAGAATTTTTCGGGTAACGGAAAAATGTTCTCGGAAGTTCCAGAATGATGCATTATTTCATTTCTCAAAGCCGGAAAAAAATCACCCGTCCCCGGAAATTTTCGGGTACAAGGTAACGGAAAAATATTCTCAATAGTTTCAGAAATTGACCATTACATTATCTCTCGAACCCGGAAAAATATCCGCTATCCCAGGAATTTCCCAAGTACGTACCAGAAAATTGCTTTCGGAATTTCCCGAAAATGCCCTTGATTTTCATCTTTCAAACCCGGAATAAAAATCCCCCAGCCCTGGAATTTTCTGGACACTGGGAAAATTATCTCAATTTTCCAGAAAATGTGCCCCTCAGAAAATCGTTCCCAAAGCCGTAATTTTCCGGTAAATCACAGCTTTGGGAATGATATTCCAAGAAAATTTGAATTCCAGCTATCGGAGAGTCCCGGGTTTGAGGGATTCCAGCTAACGGAGAAATTACTTTTCAATTACAGTTCACCGTCCTTACACAAAGAGACGTGACATGCATCTCGGATACCGAGACAGATCGCACGCACTCTTATTGTTATTACGCGTTTTATTTAATCTATTTGTATAGTACTATAGTAGATTAATCTAGCAAGCAACAAACACACGTGAATAAAGAATCACTGCAATTAACTTTCAACTTCCTCTTGTTCACACTACAGCTGAAGTCTAACATGAACAGTATGGATGTTATCTGCATAACATAGCAGACAAGGAAAATAATAGATATTAACTTTAGCTCCAATTGAGTGTTTATAGTTCATCATTCATGAATGCCAACTGTAGGTAGAGTGGCACCGGCCTCCACTTCCCTCCGTGCTGCTCCCCTCCCACTCCACACTCTCTTTACGTCACTTCACCTCGCTATACCACCGTCCACTTGGCAAAAGATACGATCTAATAACAGTTTATTTAATGCATTCTTCTATTGAACATATAAACATTCCACAAACCTTTACATTTATTATTTGTTTTATTATTTTTTTCCATGTTTCCATAGTAAGTTTACTATTGCGAGTTTCCTATAACCAAATACAACGCAGCCACACTGCACAAAACCTGATGGGCTCCTGTAAATGCACTAGTGAGGGAGGACTGTACAGTAGCTAAAACAATAGGACTGTACAGTAGCTAAAACAACTATCTGTGCAGGTGGGGGTTGATATGCTCTGAAGTGTAAGGTGTGACTAGTGGCAGCCCTCATATACCAAAATCTATCGTCCATGGTCTCGAATTGTTTCCCACAAAGTATGCACAGATAGTTGTTTTAGCCACTGTAAATATCAAATTACCTATAACTTACTTGAAGAGGAGTGCAACATGTGAAACTGGGGCATTATTCTCTAATGATGCCACAACTGTGCCAGATGGAAGGGTGGTCACCTTAGAATTATGTTGGGGCAAAGTATACGAAGACTGCTGAGCTGCGGCCTGAGCTGCAAAACCACGATTCTGTTGAAATAATAAATTATATACTGTTACTGTACAAAAACCCTGTACAACAAACAAGTTTGCTTTTAAGATGTACTTCTAACAAAATATGGGACAGATGGACAAAAAACTAATACTTTCTCCTTCAGTGAGACAATAGAGTGATAATGAACTTGCCTCTCGCTGCCTTGTCCAGGGTTTAATCCCTTGCTCAGGACTGACGCGAGAAGCGTGTTACCCCTTGGGTGATCTTCCCAAACATCGAAGGAGATTTATACAAGCCACCTGTTTCCTTTCAACAAAGCTATAAATCATAAAGTTCCCAGTGAAGATAAATGTGTTCAATCATTTTAAGTTAAAAGTAGATAAAGTGCATAGGCAAGATTCTAAATGAGCCCAACACCTTAATATATTTATCCTTTCCATCACTTGTCAGCTTACTAGCTGTTCAGGTGGCCAGTCTTTTCTTTATTCCAATCTCCAGTGCCCAAGAGGAGACCAAGTACCTGTAGAGGAATAGTATGGAAAAAAAAAGAGCAACATTTGGTAGGGTCACACTGGATAACACCTTTCTCACATCTGACCCAGGGATCAAACCAGCAACACAGAAGTAAGAAACAAGCATGATACTGTTGTTATTACAAACACCCTAACACACATTTGAGTTGCCTTTTCAAGGAATGCAAATTACCAAAGAAGAAAAGGAAACAAAGTACAGTACATACAAGGGGTCCCCAACTTACAAGCGCCCACCGATACGAACAGGGTTAAACTTAAAATTTATAGTGTTTTATTAACCTGATCAATTGTTTTTTATTTTCATTTATTGTATTTTGTTATTCATTTCTTCTTAAATTAAGTGAATTTAGATGTACAGTATATAAGGACTTAGGCTATGATATAGTGGGATTTTAAACATTGTTCTGTAAGTACTGTACAGTATGCACATAGCATGTGTTCCGATTTACTTACAAATTCGACATAAGAACGTCCTCAGGAACGGAACCCGTTCATTACCCAGGGATCCCCTGTACTGATGTACAGCACATATGTGTATGTCCAATGGAATATAAATACAGTACAGGGTATTTATTTAGTTGGTTCAACAGTCCTGTAGCGAGACTAGTTTCCTTCTGATGCTTTTATATTCATTAAAATAACAAGGTAGTACAGGTGTACTGCAGAGGTAATATCTCACTTATATCAAGCAATGCACGCGAGGAAAATATGTTATGAAGATTTAGTTATAGGTTTGCCTGGTTTGTGTTGTCTGTTCTAAAATGGAAAACTAAATTACAAATATGGAACAGTTAAGAACAAATTACTGACCAGTCATAGCTCAGCTGACCTTTTCCTTCCAGGCAACTGCCCACACCCATAAATGTAACAAATTCACCACAAATGGCAGGGGCTTCCATTATAACCAGGGGTGCAGTGCTGCCGGAGCACCGCTCCAGCACCTCTGTTTTGATCAATTAATCAATCAATATCACCGACGCCTTGTTCCCTCCCAGGAGCTCCCCAACAGGGGGTGGCCATGGCAGAAATGTCTCCAGGACATTTTATCCTTGCACACCTCACATGCTCTCTCAAACACTCTTCCTCCCCTTCCTGCTCTCTCTTCAACAAACTCTCTAACTCTTGTCTCCCAGGTGGCAATTGGTCTACCCCTCCCAACATTCCCCTTTCTCTTGCTATCATAAACTTTTTTGTCAGCCTATCTTCATGCATCCTCTACACATGTCCATACCACCTTAGTGTATTCCTCTTCATCCACTCCACCACACTTCACACATGAAGTTATAGTAAGCTCTATATGTTACTATAAACCTATATCAAACAAGCAATCAACTTTATTTTGCAGTAATAATACATAATACAAAACCGAATATATCTTCACATAATTAATCTCTCCTTTAGATCAGTTTATATTTTATGACTTATCAATATTATAGAAAGACTTTGATAACAGGTGCACTTCTAAACACTTAAAAACTGTTTTTTTCAAAAGTAGGTATGTACTTCCTCACATAAGAGCTATAAATATGTGACCAATATCGAAAGGATAAGCACATTAGACCCAGAATGCTCACTTTATGTGGTGCGTGTACTCTTTTAAGCGGAGAGTGGCTGGCGGTCATCTCGCGCCGCGCCATTTTTGGATTCAAACCTCCCGCCATGTTGGGTAAGCAGCGCGAGTAGGTTGCGCAGTGTATGTCTTTGTTGCGTTATCGGTGACGTCATATGACGTAGTGGACTGTGATTGGGCAAAGCATCCTTACCTCCCTCCCCGCTAGCTGTGATTGGTTTAATGTACTATGACGTGCCCCGCCGCGGGAGCGTTCAAGCCCCTTGACCTACCCGCGTCAGTTACACCCCTCCCGGCTACACCGTGTATATCGGTATCCATTGTTCCATAAGAATGGCTTCCACCGGACCACCACCACAAAGAAACCTTGCATTACCTGGACCCAGCCGCCCTAAGCCAAAGACAAGACGTTCCTTAAGCTACGAAATCATATACAGTATAAGATCATACAAGAGTTGGAGAAAGGAACAAGACAGGTTGATGTTGCGCACCAGCATGGTGTTAACAAATCAACTATCAAGACAATTAAGGAGGATGCAGCCAAGATAAAGGAGCACATGAACATCACAAAGTCTACAGGTGCTTCTATGATCAAGTATTTCCACAACCAGGTGCTTCTCAAGACGGAAAAATTACTTGTGAGCTACTTGGTGCATCAGGCGCGACGGAACATGGCAGTGGACACACGCTCAGTTAAGGAGTACGCACGTGAACTGTATGCTGCAGTGTCACGAAAGATGGGAATAACAGAGCCCAAACCCTTTAATGCTTCCTCTGGGTGGTTACAGAGGTTTAAGAAGAGGAACAAGATCACCAGTATCAACATTGGTGGTGAAAAAGCTAGTGCTGACTGTGTTGCAGCTAGGTAATTTCCTCCGTTTTAAAGTGAGATTATGGAGGAAGGACAGTACACCGACGACCAGGTGTTTAACATGGACGAATCTGGTCTTTTTTGGAAAAAGCTACCTTCCAAGACCGTTGTGAAGAATGCCAGCAAGTGTCGGGGCTGGAAGTTGCAGAAGGAGCGCATCACCGTCCTGTTTACCACCAATGCCTCCGGTACCTGTAAGCTCAAGTTATCGGTGATCCACACAGCACGCAAGCCGCACGCCTACAAGAGCATGGACATGACCAAGCTAAATGTCCACTGGCTGACTGCACGTAAGGCATGGATGTTCTCTCCTCTGTCCCTCTCCTGGTTTGATGACTGTTTCGGTTCGATGTGAAGAAATTCTGTGAGCAACAGAATGTGCCATACAAGATTTTGTTGCTGCTTAATACAGCACCAGGACACTCGCCCCTACTGTTAGATCGTCACTCCAAACGTAAAAGTGGTCTTCCTTCCTCCCAACACTCGTCTATAATACAGCCCATGGACCAAGAATTGATCTGTAATGTAAAGCTGCATTCTCTGCTAAAAATTCAAGCTCCTGAGCGACTACACCAACACCAAGGAAGGCTGCGTAACTTGGTGTCCCTGTTTTCAGTTAGGTAGGATATAAATGCCACCCATGACTATGGAAGGTTGCCCATGTCTGCCTTGGTCGGGACAAATATGACAGAAAAAATGGGGCCTTTGATGTCATTTACCTAGATTTAAGAAAGCACTTGATAGTGTACCACATCATAGGTTATTATACAAAGTAAACAAAATTGGTGGATAATGATAATACAATAAGATGTCGAAGGATTCTTAACTGACAGAAAACAACGTATAACAGTAAATGGAGCCAAATCTGAGCGGTAAGAAGTGAAGTTTCACAAGGGATCAGTCCTTGGACCAGTTTTATTTTATAAAAGTAATGTCTGATCAGTTTGCAAAATGTTTGTGACAACACAAAAATCTACAATAAGATGGAGAGGTTGCAACACTACAGGAGGACCTACAAGGACTCGAAACCTGGACAGAAACACGGAAAAAATTTATTAAAGAAATATGTAAAATGTACTATGGCCATAAATTAAACCATAATTATAAGATGTCTGAAACAATTTGGAAACTAAAAAAAGGATCTAGAGTTTTAATCACATGCAATCTAAAATTTTTGTGACCATAACTCAGAAATAACAAGAAAAGCTAACTATGTTAGTCACGATTAAATCTTCCTTCAACTACCTGTTGCCTGAAATCATTCTTTATACTATATAAAAGTTGTGATACTGCACTTAGAATATGCTTACAAGCATGGTCCCATATCTTAGATAGCTACAGTATAAGATACTATAGAAAAAATACAGAAGAGCCACCAAAATTGTTCCTGAATTAAAGAAATCTACACTACTGACAAGACTACACCAGCTGAAGAGACAAGAGAAATCTGATAGAAACATACAAAATAATGATTGGAATTGAAGATATCAATAGCACACAATTCTTTCAAGAAAATTTCAGTGAGTTAAGAAATGATAAAAAATATATACAGTAAACCCTAGCTTCGCGGTCCCACATTCAGCGTTTCACGTTCTGTGATGCCCTGCGAAACGGAATGCTCACATTCCACGGTCGTCTTTTACTTCTGTGGGAGGCGGCTGGCGAAACCGCGCACCATTTTGGATCCAAACCTCCGCCATCTCCCGCCATGTTGTGTAGCCGGGCGAGCAATGCGCTAAAAGGTCGCCCAGTCATCAAAACATTACGAGTTCTTCACCGCCACCCACCACAGCCGGCCCAAGTCAGTGATAGTGATAATTATAGTGAGGATATGGACTTATATGGACTTTGAGGGTTTACAAAAGGCCCTGCAAGCCTCTGTGGTGGATAGTGATACAAGTGATACAGGTGAGGGCCACTAATCTGCCCTCTGCCTCGAAACCAACCCCCCATCCCGTGTGCCCAGCCATCTTTTCTACTAATGTAAGTGTTAAAAACCTAATATTATTGATATTTCTCTTAATTATTAATTGTGTGCATACCATCATAAAATTAAGAAGT